GGAGAGTGGGAAGGTAGTTGTACATATACAAGATCATATAAATCAATCCTATTCTATCAACAACATCAATTGCAAAGAAAAATGATCACCCCATCCATTCAATAAGTAAACAAATAGAGAAGCTCTTCCAAGTTCCAAAGCCTTCCAAAACTTTCCTTTATAACCAATAAAATATTGTCCCTAATTGAACCAAGTTTGCTCCTTGAAAAAGCCTTAGGCTTAGTTTCAAACTTGGCAACAAAGTTTCACAAAAGAGACATCAGGGGTATACATTAATAAAGTGTAAAGGGATTTGGTTCGGTTTGGTTTCGTTCACTTTTCAAACCCCCGAAACCAAAACCGAACCAATAAGGTTTAGTTTGGTTCGGTTTGATTTTTTTTCGATTTTCGGTTTTTCGAACCTACCCCTACGTTATCAATGTTTAAATAATAAACCAAATAATTAACTTCCATGTCATTTATTTTTCAAAATTTAATTTACAAATTTAGTCTCCCTAGCATTACCCGGTACTAAAATTCCCCCATTGTCTTATTTTTTCACCCACCTTAATAAAAATGTTACTCACATATTTATTTTTTAGTAAAATACTTTTAAATCCATATTTATAAATTCATTATGATTTTAACTAAATAAACTAAAACAGAATAAAGAAAAACTAAAACTAACAAAAATAAAAATAAATCCATCACCTTTCCAAATCATCCATGATGGGTCAATGACTATCAAGTCCCCAATCATCCATCACCCTTCTCTAGCAGCAATCACCACCTCACTCTCCCTTTCAATTCTGGTACTACCGCCTCCACCCTCTGTTCCTTTTCTGTATAGACAAACAACGGCGACCACCAGTCACGTGTGGAATGGAGATGCAACAAGGGAAGCAGTCATGGAAAAAGATGACGACAACCCAGATTTTCAAATCGAATAAATACCAACTCCCACTTGGAATAAATGATTTGGAGCAATCTTCCCCTGTATTGGATCTTCCTCCCCCATGCTTCTCTCTCTTCCTCCCCTTCCCATTTCTCTTTCTTCGACCTCGTGCTTCTCTCTTCCACCCCCTCTCGTTTCTCTCTCTCTTTTCAAAGGAGATGCTGCCAAGCAAGTGTCAAGGGTTTTGGTTTTTGATAAGGGTGGGTGGAGATGTTGGTGCGGCTAGGGTAATGCAGGTGCTATGTTGTAATTAAGGAACGATGATGGTTTTTTAAAAAAAAAAAAAAAAAAAAAATCATATTAACATTATCCTTTGAAAAATTAGTAGAAAGAATCTGGATCCTCTTTGCAAGGATCTCGGGAATCCGTGAATCGTGTTCATTCATTGTACATCGTGCGGTCAAAAATCATTTTAAATATTTTTATTTAAATTAAACACAAACAATAGCTGACAAAAATTAATCACACGATGTATGATGAACAAACACGATTCACGGATCGCGAGGATCCTCACCAAAGGGATCCAGAGAGGATCCTGTTGGTAAAAGAAATTTATATTAGAGGTTATTTTACGAATAATCGTGGGTGGAGAAATAATATTTTTATTTTTTATGGTATAATTATAATGTGGGCGTAGAAATAGGTCAATGAGATGTGTCTAATACCACTATCACTACTACAAAAGAGGCTATCACTAGCGGTGTGAAAACCGACAAAAAACCCCAATTACTGTTGGATTTTTTGTATAAATGCGACATCAAATCATGCAATGTCGCATAGAGGAACCGACACTATTGCTAGCATCACGAAAAGGGTATTGACGTCGGTCAGTCCTCTTAATCCACCACCATGAAACAAAGTAATATAAAATAAAAAAGAACAACAGTGTCGGTTAAAAGTGACATCGAACTTTACGTCGCTTAGAAGCGACATTAAAATATCAAACTATTGTCGATCCTAACAGACATTACCTTACATCTGGATAAATAAAATAATTATTATGATGTCGCCCATAAGCGACACCAAATATATTAATAATAAAAAAAATTGGCTTCAGTTTTTCGTTATTAATAATTAAAAAAAATTATTTAAAAATAATTCCTACCATATTTCATGTATAGGACAAAGCAAACATTAATAAAACTATTAACAATAACAATAGTACCAAACACTAACAATTATCCACTATAACTACAATTAACTACAATTCTTAAAAATGTACAACCCATACATATTCTTCCTGAACTCTTGCAAAAGATTTTGAACCAGTGGTGTGGTTCATTGTTTTCAACTGCCGATTATGCTTATTTTTTTTACAGCAATCTCCTGAAAAATAAGAGAATTTATTAGACAAATTTCAAGGTATAATAAAACAAATCATAAACGGAAGATTTCTGTGATCTCTAACCTCTATCGCTACATGTTTTGAAAAAATACTAGAATTATCACTAATGCATTTTCTAGACGAATCAAATGAACAAGGCAGTTCTTTCGAATTAGGAATTGAGGATCCGCATCTCCGATGAGTTGATCCTTATAAATACAGAAAAAACAATTAAAAACCAAGAAACCAAAATCAATTTTCAATTTAAGCATAATACTAGTTAAAATACAAAACTGAAACTGAAATTAATAATCATAATAATTTAAAAATGAACCACCTTCGAACTCTTCATCTTCGAAATGGAGTTCCTCGGAGTGCTGATTTTCAAAATGTTGATCCATAGAAAAAGTTAATGGAAGGAGAATGAGAAAAACTGAAATGGAGGAAGAAAGGAGAAGGAGAAAAAGAAGGAGAAAGATTGAAATTGGGGAAGAAATGAAAGCACGAATGAAATGGGGAAGAAAGGCGGTTTAAATATGGATACTGAGTTGGCGTTGGTTAAAACTGACATTGATTGCACTGACATCGAACTAAAAGCCATTGGCGTCGAATTAAATGAAGCTTGGTGTTGGTTAAAACCGACACCAACTTCTAACACACATTACTGATATGCACTTCGAATTAAATGAAGCCACTTCCTGACACACTTTATTGAAATTCACGTGGCGTAGGTTTAGATGAAATTTGACCATCATCTGACACACTTTACGGATAATGAAACTCACGTCAAATTAAATGTACTTGGCGTCGGTTAAAACAAACACTAAGTCTGACACTGACTGCAAACTCTTCTCAATCCATTTCCTCGTGCAAAACAAGCGGGAAAATTCCCGCCTAAATATTTCAAATTATCCGTCGTCAATTAATTCTTTATGTATTCAACCAGCTCAAATAAAATCCCTACAAAATTAAATTGTAAATAAAAATTAAACATAAGAGGAGAAAGTAAAAATACTAGAAGCAAGAAAAACTTACTGTGAAGAAGAAGGAATTAATGAAGTTGGAAGAACAAATAAGAAAGATGTAAGAGACAAAGAACAAAACACAGGGGAGAGTTTATAAATTGGAAGAAGAAATGAGAAAGGTGTGAGAGAGGAAGAAGAAAACATGGGGAGGGTATATAAAGGCTACCAATTTGTCGCCTACAACCGATACCATGTATCAAACTATTTAAAAAAAAAATTAAAATCCATGTCGGCTACAACTGACACAGGCTTTGAAAATATTAAAAAACTTTCATTAGTGTCAGGTAGAAGCAACACCAGTCTTCTTTTAACCGACGCTAACTTTATGTCGGTTACAAGCGACACGATTTTTTTTAGGCAACACCACTATTTAAAAAAAATATTAAAATCTATGTCGGTTATAAGTGACATTAACAATTTATGCCGATTATAAACAACATAGACAGTTTATGTTGCTTATATCTGACAGAAATTCCGACACCATGTTAAGTAGGTGTCGGAAATATCTTATCCGCCACTACGTTATATAAAACAGACACTAACCACCGACACAATAAGGCCCTTTTGTAGTAGTGTATTAGATGAGTAATGTTATTCATACCACGTTTTTGTAACACATTTTCATACCATCTTAGGTGACATTTGATGTGGACAGCCACATCATTTGAATTAATCAAAATTTTAAATTTAGTTCATTATTTAATAAACTAATAATTAATAAAAACTAATTAATTAAATGATGATTGTAATATAGAAGGAGTCTTTCTCTTTCAGTTCCTTGGGTTTTGCAAATTTTTCAAATGATGTGGCTGTCCACATCCGATGCCACCTAAGGTGGTATAGAAATATGATATAAAAACATGGTATGAAATAATTACTCCTATTAGATTATTACTTAAACCTTAATTAACATGTTTATTTTCTATTAGTGACACATCATTTGGTTTGCAAATTTGATATAAAATTTTATTTCCCTAACATTATCCATATGATAAATGTTACATTTCAAATGTGACAAATAAAAATTGGGTGTAGAGATAAAATTGTTTAGTTACAAATCGGCGAGCAACGATTTTGTCCCCATCGAAAAAAGGGAAAATTACTGATCCTCCTTTTTGCTCCGCCTTCAACTCACCTCCTCACCGGCCTCTCTTTTTCGATCGGTTGGGCCATGGAGGGATGGTCGTTGGCGTCATAGAGGCACCACTGGTGATTGGGTGGTTAACCGGAAATGGAACACGGGGATGTGGGGGTTTGTTGTTGGATATGGCTTTTTTGTTTTTTTTTATAATCTCAAGAGAAAGAGGAGAGGTCAGCGGTGAAAGATAGAAAGAGAGAAGAGGGGATTGTGGCCTTCGACAGGAAAAAGTGCCGCAAGATTTGGATTGGGTTCGTTGGAGGAGAGAACTATTGTTACGATCTTTTTTTTTTTTTAAATATTTTATTTTATTTTCAAGACATGTGAAATGATCATTTTGTGAAATGATCATTTTGATCCTAAGTTGATGTTTTAATTATTTATCAAGTCTCGACTCGAGAATTCAATTCTCATACTTTCTAAAGTTTCATGAATTTTGGTACATTAACATAACGTCGAAAATTGAATCTCAAATCGAAAGTAGAAGGGCCTAATTGTAATTTTACAATTAGTCGAGGGCAATTTTGGTAATTCACTTAACTTAGGTTGAGTAGGATTTATCCCACGTCCGGGCCTCTCTCTCTCTCTCTCTCTCTCTCTCTCCCCTCTTTATCTTCAGAACTCACTCTCTCCCTAAAACACCGAGAGAAGAGAGCTCTCACTCTTCCACTTACCTTCACAAATCAACCTAAATCTCTACATATTTGAAGTCTGTGGGATGCAAGGATCACAATGGTGGTCTTGTATGTGAGATCGGTGCAGTGTGGACCTCGACACCATTAGAGCCGAGAGCTTGAAGCTCTCAAACTCAAACCCAGGCATGGTCTCTGCTTACCCCTTGAATTTCTGTGTTTAACCTTATCATTTTTCACTCTGTGATGTTAATTTTATGTTGAAACTCGAGGGTTTCAACCTCTGCAACTTTTTTGCATACGAATCCAGCCCTAACGACCGGCAAAATGTCGTTGAGTTTGAAGTCGGCTGGTGTTGGTGATCCATCCATTCTCTCTCTATCTCTTGTATCTGGGATGTTTGGATGAGGCTTTTGAGCTATGTGGGCAAGAGAAGGAGGACGAACTCCAGCGAGTTCGAGCCATGATTCACCCCCATTCCCGCTACATGTGGTATGGATAAGTTTTGAGTCATCTTTTTGGGATTTTCCTCGAGTTTAATGTGGTGTTGGCCTCTATTTTGATGCATGCAAACTCTGTGTCACTTTCTGCAGTTTCCGACGAGTTTTTTTGAGCAAAAACTGTTGAATCCGAGGTGGATTCAATCTCTCATCCTTCTAAACTAGTTTTAGGTGAGTCTCTTGATCTCTGGGATCAATTTGGAATTAAAAGTCTGTAAATTTGGAGCTTGGGGAAGGCCTGATCGTCTCTGTATTTTGCTGCAGATTCCGGCGACCGCCGTTTGACGGCTACAGTGACGGTGCCGTTAGCTTTAACGGCATATCTTTCCTCATCATGTATATTCCGTTATCTTTGTTGAACCTCACCGCACCAAAACGTGGCTCTGGCGACGACGAGTGTGACATCTACTTGTTGAACCGCGACGGCGAGTACAACAATGCGTTCACCGACAACGGTGGCTCACAATGGCATGTGACACCACTGCGGCAACGTGTGGTGGCGCGTGGCCGGAGCACAACGGCATGTGCGGAGGTGTGTGCAGGACCTATGTCCTATGTTTAGGTTTTTCAATGCTCTGAATCACATGGCACCCTCCGTTTGTGCAAATTCATTACTTGAATGGTAGTTTTGGACGATTTTCATAAAATGTTGATTAAAGCTTAACTTAGCTTTATATGATTATCATAGGTTTATTAGAGGATACAAAGAGATCAAGCAAGGAGCCTATTGACAAGGAACGCTCTGCTTACCTGTGAGTGGAACCCTTTCGAAAAATCAAACGTTTTTACGTTATATATATATATATATATATATTTATATATGCTTTTATATGCGGATGCATATTACTTATGTTAGTCTTTTACAACACTTATACTTAAATCAATATTAGATGATATCTTGAGATCATTGGTGATTTACTTTCACCACATGGTTATCATACATATCGTCTAGCTAGCTATGGCCGCAGGATTTATTAAAGGCACATTATATTCTAGTAGAGGCTAGAATTCGCTAGTAGACGCTAGATATTGATCAGGTAGATGCCACTTTACCTGCTTGCTATACATTACTTTATATGTGATTGATTTACTTTCTTTGATATGACGAGCAAGATTGAGTTGATCTTGACTACTATTATTGTTGTATTACTATGTATGTAGTTTTCACTATCTATGTTTTCAAAATAGAGGTTATTATGTTTAAATGATTTTGAAGTGATAAAACTGGTCCGCTCACGTTTTGTTTTTTTGGCCTCTTTAGGAAGTAACGAGAATAAGAAGAACACCAGTGGTGACGAGTGGGCTTGGCAGTGAGGTTTTCATCCCTTGGATTTAGAGCGATAGTTCATTTACTTTAGTTTTATCTTAATTGTAATAATTGCATGATCGCACTTTTGATAATGCCCAACATCGCACTTTTCTATGTTTACTGTTGTATGAAACTTCTAGCTGCTTTAATGTGATGTGATAATAACGGGATTTAATCCCAAGATATTTTGTGTCCCTAAGTGGGGAGGTTGATATGTGAACTATGTAGTAGCTTTGGATTTATTATAAATGAACATGAAAAAACATATGAATATCACTTGGAAGAATGTTCTAAATCATATTCAAGTGAATCATGTAGAAACGTATCACATTGGATAGTAGACATGAAACATACTATCACTTAAACAATGTGATCAAGAGTATTGTATTAGAGAATGACCATATTGTATTGTAGCTGTAACTGGATAGGTTCTCCAACCACTTCTACTTAGCTTGGGTAGCCGTGACATACTGCTAGGTGTCACTCATGGTTTGTGGAAGCCCTGAAGATTATCAAACACTAATCTTCATCAAGGGAAGAATTGAAATGTGGTTTCAATTCACAATCGATCGTTAAAAGTAACAATCACCCCTTACCTTGCTAAATGGAACCTAATGGATTGTACAACATGTAAGGATGAATGTGAAGAAACATAAATGAGATGAATAAGCAATTAAATAGTTTAATTGAGAATGGTCAAGGTTAATTAATTAGTTACTGCATTATACGAAAGGTTTGTTTTGGGCTTTTAAGTTAGTGTTCGATTATTGAGTCCAAATGGGTTTTTGGTCCATAAGGCCCATTGAGTTTAAGTTGTATGACAACTAAAACTAAATGGGAAAATTAGCCCAAAAACAAAGCCAAAACTGGCCAAACTAAAGAGAGGGTGAACTTGGCTTAATTGCAAGTTTGTCACTCACTTATGAGGTGGTATAAAAACATCTATATAGCCATTCTCTCACTAGGGTTTTCTTGAGGCAAATAAGAGAAACTTTTTCTCTTTCTCTCTATAGAGGCCAGCCTTCCTAGAGGAGTTCACTAGCATCCAACTTCCTTTAGGTAATCCATTTCATCTTCACACCATCATCCTTGGTGTGGAGACTTAGAGGTACCAAACCTTTGGTACTTTTGGAGATCCTTTCCTCACATCCTCAAGAAGAAATTAAATAACCAAGGAGCAAGGAAGTGACTTGAAGGCCCTCCACGTGGGTGAATCCCTTGTGTAAATAAGGATGAGCTTCAAGAGTCTTTAGGTTCACCATATACTAGGCTTTGAATTTCTTTGGGTCAAAGAATTTTTTTGAATGCATGCCTACTTTAAGAGTTATTTCTATGCTTGTATGTTCAATATTCTCACATGTTCTTAGCTAGGACAAAAGTTTTCTTCAAGTGGTATCAAGTGCCTAGGTCAAGTGTATGGTGAATCCTTTTGGATTTTGTATTTTCAAAGTTTATGTTTTGAATGTTGTAATTGTTACAAGCTTTATTCTTACTTCTTTGAATGTAAATTTTGTTAGAAAATTTTCCATCTCAAAAGTTGTTGATGTAGTTAATTTAAGCATGGATTTTGGAGCTAAAATTTGGTGCCATGTTTGTGGAGAAATTCGGCCAAATCCATGGGGTGGATTTTTGGGTTCATATTTGTCTTGTTAAAAAGGGTTTAAAGCGACATTAGGAATCCCTAAGTACCCTAAGATGTTAACCCTCTTTTGAGTAGTGAAATTTTGAGTTTTATTGAGTGAAAACATTCATGGAGCTCTTATGAGTTTTCATTGATGTTCTTCAATATTCTTGATGTTCATACCAAGAACAAAAAGTTTGTTGTTTTGAGTTCAAAAATGTTTGGTTCTTTATTTGAAAATTTTGTTAGTCATGGTTGGTGTACTTGTTTGGTATTTTATTATTTAAGGTCATACCAATCACTTCCTTCAACATGCAAATCAACTCACACACACAATCACCGTTTACCAAAACTGGCCACCCCTACAATGGCTGTACTTTTGGAACTTCTATGCAATAACATAAAGTTTTGATACTTTTGTGTATTTGCACTTTGACCTGAAAGCTTACGTGTCACATCCCAATCTCGACTTTGACGTATCACGATATTGTCTGCTTTGGGCCACGTCTTCATGGTTTTTTTTTTGGGTTTCAGCACGAGAGCTTCCTGGTGGGTCACCCATCGTGGGATTGCTCTCGCGCAAACTCGCTTAACTTTAGAATTCCAATGAACTCCGAAGCCAGTAGGCTCCCTAAAGGCCTCGTGCTAGGTAAAGATGGGAATATACATATAAGGCATAGATGATCATTCCCCTGGGCGATGTGGGATCTAACAATCCACCCCCCTTAGGAGCCCAACGTCCTCGTTAGCACACTCGCACTACACGGCATAGTGGCTCTGATACCAAATTGTCACATCCGGCCCCGACTCTGCCCTAGCATGATATTGTCCGCTTTGGGCCACGTCCTCACGGTTTTGTTTTTGGGTTTCGATTTGAGAACTTCCCAGTGGTCAACCATCATGGGATTGCTCTGGCGCGAACTCGCTTAACTTCGGAGTTCCAGAAACAAAACCGTATGGGTGTGGTTGGGGCCCAAAGTGGACAATATCATGTTATGGCAGAGTCGAGCCCGGGATATGGTCGAGCCCGGGTTGGGATTTGACAATTTGGTATCAGAGCCAATCCCTGGCTGGAAGTATGCTGACAAGGGCGTCGGGCCACTAAGGGGGTGGATTGTTAGATCCCACATCGCCCAGGGGAATGAATCCTTTATGCCATATATGTATATTCCCATCTCTACCTAGCACGAGGCCTTTTAGGAGCTCACTGGCTTCGGAGTTTGCGTGAAAGCAAAGCAATCCCATAATGGGTGACCCACTGGGAAGTTGCTCGTGAGTTCCCAGAAACAAAACCGTGAGGGTGTGGTCGGGGCCTCAAGCGGACAATATCGTGCTACGGCGGAGTTGAGCTCAGGATGTGGTGGAGCACAGGTCGGGATGTGACATTACGTGTTTACATAAAGACCCAAAATCATTAAAGGACAAATTGTTTTGCTCTTTGTATGAAGTTTTTTTTTTTCTTTCCGTAATTGTTGAAATTTTGGGGGTCTAGTAATTATATGAAGTTGTGAACTTTGTGTTTTTAAAAAGTGACCCCAAAAGTTTGTGTTTTGCATAATGGCCCAATAGTTGAGGGAGAACAAAATTGTTTTGTCTCTTTAACGAGAATTTGATTTTCATTTAATTTAGCTCCATTTAAATCAACTCTATGGATTCAAGAACCAATTGTTTAAGTTGCTTTTTTTAGTTAATGTGATTAATTTCCAAACGGCATGATTATGAACCAAAGGCCTATGATAATTGAGTTATGTGATTGACTGCTTAACACTATGCATGAATGGGTTAAGTAGTTTAGATTTGAATGTCATTTGATTAGTCCAATTGTGATGTAAAAAGGTGTAAGCCCTTCTCATTATTTCAAGTATTCCCTTTTGTTTACTTGTATGAAAATTGGAATAGTTAAACCCAATGCCCAATAAGAAATAAAGGTTTAATTAAAATAAATGTGTAACTAAAATCAACGACTACCCACCTTAGACCCAAGGTCTAACGCAAGGCTCGTGTTGGATCAAATCAAACAGTTCATAATCATCCTAAGACCTAAGATGACTATTCAGTCCATATGAGGATGCTACACATTCGTTAGAAGTTCCATATATAACCTTGGACCAATGGTTGTGATAGGCCCAATACTTGTTAATAATATTAAAATGAACTTGATGTAGCCTAACACTACTTCCTCAACAAAATAAATATTAAGTTGATGAACAAAAAGATGCTTTGAACATTTCTTTATGGACCTTCTACCATGGTAAGCTCCAATCATCTATGACTCATACACCTTATCCATCCAGTTCTAGGGTATATAAAGTATGTGTTTACATTTAGGAGGAACTTATAAACATATGATGAAGTGAAGGTAGGTAACAAGTATGGTCAATATGATATTCTTTTGAGGCCATTCTTTGTTCCTTTGCACGTCTTTTTAGGCAGTATGGGTTATTACGAACACATGAATGTTATAACCCACAGCCTTGCTAGTTGCATAAACTTTGCATTGGACTTCTGGGTCAAAAGCGCCATATGTCCGTATCCGTGGCCCGCCAATCGTTACTACGCTTATTGCGGTTCGAGTCTCTGAAGTTGCTAATCATTCTAAACAGATTGGGCTAAAGGAGACTAATCTGACAGTGTAACTTTGAACATTTTTTTAACTTGCATTGCTGTGAAGTTTTCAAAGTTTGGGCCTTGTTTTGAACGAGTAGGGTACTCTCTGCATCATGGAAAAAAATAAAGAAAGAACACATATTTAAGACAAACAAATGCTCTTTATTCATGATCTAAGTAAAGTTGGTTTACAAGGGGGCGTGATTGAGTTCGAAAAAGATTGCCTATATATCCCTGGGATAGAGAATCAAATCACTGGTGTACTTTTAAGGAAAAGATGAAATGACATAAAAATTTTCATCAGGGATCACTTTTGATAATAAGCCTATGGTGAGGCGTTAGGAAATGAGCTCTTCGTGGACTTGTTTTCACGCAAACAGCAGCTTTGTGATTGACTCCGGAGAGGATTGCCTACATATCCTGGGAAGGGAATCAAATCATGTGTAGTTCATCTGGTGATTGGCTTTGTTTCAGGCCATCTCGAGCAGTCTGCAAGGGCTTTAATCTTCTGCAGTGGAGACTCCATTTCCTGGCATAGGTTTTCCAGTTTATTTGTTGTTGAATCTTTCACTACTTGGTAACATTCTGGGATAACGAGGTGGGATTCTGTCATTAAAAGGGACCTTTCCCATGACATGTAACTATTCTCGGTCGAGGATAACATTGTATGGAGACGAGCTATCCATCACATGGAAAGTCATCATATGCTCAAATGGTTTTGCTCGAACCATGAGACGTATTGTCCCCATAGCGCTTAGTAAAGTTCCCCTAAGGGTCTGGATAGTAGATTTTCTTGAGCTGATTTCATCCAAGATGACATCTTTATAGCTACACCTTTGAAGAAGACATTGATTTTTGACCTATTATCGATTAAGATTCTTCTGACCATAGCATGTTGGATTTGTAGCTTGACGATGAGGGTACCGTTGGAAGGCATGTAAGCAATTCCTGGC